TGGCAAGGCGCAGGGCCGGGTGAGGTGGGCGGGGCGGGGAACGCCTGGGCCGGATTAACCACCCCCCCAGGCCGATTCCCTATCAACAGTTTATTTCTTGAGCACCTTTGGGCCAGGAGCTGAGTCCGTGATCTGGGCAAACTGTTAAGGCCTCTCTGTGCCTCACTTTCCTTGTCCGTACAATGGGGCTAAGCACAGACCCCACCTACTGGGTTGTAAGGATGACTCGCTGAGTTGATCCATGCAGAGTCCTGACACACACGGAGAGCTCAAACACGAAATACTGGTGGTGCCGTCAGTCGGCCAGCAAGCGTCATGTGCAAAGGCCCTGCAGTGGCCTGTACCAGATGGCCGCGGAGGGTATGGAGGGGGTGAGGGTGCAGGCAGGGCGGGGTTTCCTGTGATGCCAGGAGCTCTGAGCTCGGGAGGGCACTGTGTGATGACTACAGGGCAGAGGGCAGCCGGGCAGGGGCTGCTGCGGTGCGAGGCAGAAAAGAGCTGGCAGCGCGCAGAGGTGCCGAGAAGTGTGGCCCAGACAGGGTGCATCCTGGAGGCCGAATCGGCAGCACTGCCCAGGGCATAGGAAAAAGAAAATCGAGAGGGTCTGGTGGTCCCAAGGCTTCAGGGGAAGGGGGGGCACCTCGCCTGCCGCGAGGGAGGCAGCGTTGGAACATTAGAGGGGCCTCGGAAAGGGTGGGGTCCAGGTGATCTGGGCAGGGGCGGGGCCCGCAGTGTGGCCTTGGCAGTGGCATGGGAAAGGCAGGGAGCAAGCCGTGCTGACAGCCTCCCAACCAAGAGGACAAGAGCCCCACGCCTGCCCGGCTGCTGATCATCCACGCCCTGCCACCCTCAGGGCTCTGGTGGACATTCTGCGGCACCAGGGGGGCCCTGGGACCCGCCCGGACCGAGCCCGAAGCAGCTCCCTGACCCCGGGTATCGGTGGTTCCGACAGCATGGGCCCCAGGACGCCGAAGAACCTCTACAACACCATGAAGCCGTCCAACCTCGGTGAGTGGCAGTCTTTCCGGGCACGCCCCTCCGACTGTGGCCCCGCCCTCCGAGACACACTCCCTCTGCTGCTCCGCCCCATTTCAAAATACGCCCCTTGGCCTGTGGGCCCCCGCCCACCCCCGACACGCCCTCTGTGACTCCGCCCCTAGGCACGCCCATGTGTGACCCCCCCCCCCGCGCGCCCGTCCTTTAGAGCTGTGGCCCCACCCGCCCACCTTCAGCCTCTGAGCCTGTTACCAGGTTCTCACCCAACTGGCTTGGCCCCTTGGCCCCTGGGCCCGGACCTGGGACTTGTACCAGCACAGCAGGGGAGAAGTCCGCTGGCCCCAGGGGAGGGGCAGAAAGGGCTTCATCTGGTTCTAAGGGAGGCGGGTTTCCCCGGAAGTAGTGCTTGAACAAGGGGCTGGGGGTAAGGGGAGCTCTGGGAGGACTTGGGACCTGAGGTGGGGAGAGGGTGGACTCTCGAAGCCTCAGACTGGGGGCAGTGGGGAGCCACGGAGGAGTTCAGCACATGGTCAGCAGTGGGGGGAGGACATCTCTGAAGCCTTGTGGAGGGACAGATAAGGGAGAGTGGGCCAAGAGGAGGCTGGGGTGTTGGTGCAGGCAAGTCAGAGAACACAGAGCTGGTGCTGATGGAGATGAGGAGCCATGGGAGCTAGATCTTGAAGGATAAGCAGTCCCTCATGTAGAGGAGACCAAGGGGCTCAGGGAGATGCAGCTTAGCAGCAAGTGCAAAGGCCCCGGGGCAGCACGGAGTGGGCTGGGGCAGCTTCAGAGAAAGAATAGCTGGAGAAAGGGATGGGAGATGGGGATGCAGTGAACAGCCAGGCCAGACACCATCCCCAGGTTCCAGTTTGTCCCCGGGGTGATGATGAGCATAGGGCATTGGGAATAATACGCATGGAGCCGACCGTGGACATGGGCTGGCCAGATGCCACAGGCTGACCTGATGACCACGAGGGTGAGCAGATACTCAGAGGTCGGGAGGGCCCAAGGAGTGGAGGCCGGGTGCTTCCCTCTCTCCCAGCCGTGAGCTTCTGCCCATAGTCTCCACCTGTTTCCCATGTGCCCAGTGGCAAGGTGTCACCCGGAAGCCTGACCTAGGCTCTGGTGTGAGCTGGCGCGGGCTGGGGTCCTGTGGACAGATCAGGGCAGGTGGTGGCGACACTGCCTCTCTTCTCGGTCCCCTCAGATGACCTGCCCCTCGGCATCAGCAGCCCCAAGCACCACGCTGCCACTTGGGGTACACAGAGGGCTGCCTGGTGGGGCTCCTCCTGCTGAGGCCGGGCAGTGCCAGTGCCTCCAGGAGCCCAGCAGTGGTCTCCCTCCACCCAGGATGGGGGAGATGGGGTGCACCCCACATCCAGGGTACAGACAGGGGGTGTGGGCAGGTGCCAGCTCCCCATGCGGTGGGTGTTTTTCTCTCCTTGGGTTCGGGGAACTCTGAACTGCTGTAGTGAAGAGGGGCTGCAGCCACAGATTTGCAGTCCTCCAGGCCTTGCCCTGGACCCCTGGTCCGAGGGAGGAGACTGGACCAGGACCCTGAGGCCAAGGGAGGAGGCTGGGCCTGGACCCCGGGTCCGAGGGGGGAGGCTGGGCTGACCTGGTCCTTCTGCTGCAGACTGGCGCCCGGTGCCCCCACCCAGTCCCCCACTGCACTACTCCACGCTGTCCTGCTCACGGTCCTTCCACAACCTGTCACACCTGCCCCCCTCCTACGAGGCGGCCATGAAGTCGGAGCTGAACCGGTACTCCTCCCTCAAGAGGCTGGGTGAGTCCACCAGGGGGCAGCCCCCGGGGCAGATCAGGCTGGGTGGGTCAGGCCCAAGGGCAGTGTCTAGCTCTATCCAGAGGCCCAAAAGCTGTCATCTGAAGCCCGGTGTGGTGGTGCACGCCTGTGATCCCAGCACCTGGGAGGCTGAGGCAGCAAGTGTGAGTTCGACGCCAGCCTGGGCTATCAAGAGAGACCCACTCTCAAAGCTCCCAGGCCTGGCTCCCAGTTTTGATCACAGCCATTCCTGAACCAGCTGCTGGCAGTGACGGCTTTCACACACTTTAATCTGGGAGCTCAGGAGAAAATGAGCATTTGAAGCCCACATAAGTGCACATATTAATTACAGAAAAGTTTGAAGCTTTTATTAGTGGACATTTTCAAATATTTGCAAAAGCAGAGAAAATTAAACATAAGTTCCTTCACCTGCTTTAGCACTGCGCTTACAAACGACCCCAGGTACCATGTCCTTTCACCCTCCAGCACTTCGCTCTCACGGCCTGAGGTCTGAAGCCGTCTCCTCCCCTTACCCCGCCGACTGAGGGCGCTGTTTCTTGGAGAAGGGGGAGGAGAGGGGAGGAGGGAGGCTCCGGGCCCAGGCCTGGGGTGCAGCGCGGCTCGGCCGCCCGCGACCTCGCGCCC